CACACACACACACACACACACACACACACACACAAACACACACGCACACACACACACACACAAACCCAAGCACGCACATAACAAAACATGGCATCTCATAGGTGGTTGCTCAGGCGTGCTTGCATTCTGAACCCACATAAGCAATTTGACGGCCGATGAGAGCATTGTGGAAAGCATGCTTGTGGAAAATAAAACAATAATAGATCTAATATTTGCTCTAGTTGAGAAACAAACAAAAAATAATAATAATAATTTTAAAAAATAGGGAAATCGAACTATACCGGCGAAGGAAGCTAACAGAAATCCCTGTAGAAGTGAGAAGGGAAATTATTACATGTGTTTTTCATGGATCGGGGTCTGGGGTTCTGGTTCACCTTATTGCCATCATTTCTTTCTTGAGGAGGAAGAGGAGAAGGAGGAGGAGGAGGCCTAATGCATAGAAATCAATAATGCGATCGATGACATTAGCGCAGATTTACTTGTGATGTCACGAAGAAGAGTTCCATTTCCTGTGACGTCATTCGTTCAATGGATGGGCTGCCATTTTCCTGTCGATGGGAGATGTTGTCTGATATCGAAGTTTTATGTTTTTGTCATGGGACACCTGGAGCAAAATTTCGGTCCAGGTTTGTAATTTCACTATAGAAATGCCTATGATTTAATTTCCACTTTCTTTTTTGCGTATATTTTCATCACAAAGGGTAATAGAATGCATGTAAGTGTCATAACATTGAGAAACGGGGAAACTGCTCTGCTACTGCTGACTGCTGACACTTATTTCGACTGTGACGACTGCACTCTTTGAGATAATGACGACACCGCGGACGAGGAACCAAGTCATGGATGACGCGCGGCTAGCTTTAGATAAGAAATACTATTATTTCAAAATACTTGCAATGCTGTTGTTAGATTTTCCCGACTTACTTAATTCAGTGGACTGACCAGTTAGCCAAATCAGAGATTTTACTTGACTTAAGGTTTGTTGCTGTACTGTTAGCAAGTAGGGGGTGACTTTCCTGTTGTTGTCTTCACACGGTTGATCTAGAAATCTAATCCTTGTCTCAAGTAAGACTCGAGTGGTTGGCTCTGCTAGATCTAGATTTTATGTGAATACTGTATCATGTTGCTTAGTATTTTCTAGAATTAAATATCCAACATGTTAATATTTAAAAGTATTTATCTGATTCCATCCTTGATTTTTTCAGGCTCTGGACAGAATTATTTTACTCTGTTCAGTTTTAGACCTGGGGTGCATGCTTAATCCATTACTGTGAAGCTCTAAGTTACTCTAATATGTATTTCATATACCAAACTGATAGGAATCAATAGAGGAATCTGTTTATTTCAATAACAATGACCTATTTTAATCTGCTTGTATTGTATTTTCTCTCAGACAAAAACGAATGAAGAAAAAACATTGCGCAACACCTCTTTGAAAATTTCAACTTAACACTTTTTCTCAGCTCTACAAGTCCTTATAATCCATAGGAATCACCACAAAATTGTAGCCATATCACCCTAGCACACATTTATGCAAGAATTTCACAAATTTAGTTGAATGTCTTACTTTGAAGGGCTTTTTTATTACACACAAAGCTCTGTGTTATTTACCCTTAGATGTAGTCTACATAGCGACAACAAAACAATGGTTTTTGCAAGATTTTCGCAGAGTTTCGATCTATATTGGGGCTCAGAGATTGAGGTCAGGTTTGTTTACCATGTTTTACTTCCTTTCGACAACTTAAAAAGTAGGAACTATGTTAAAAAGTGCACATTTGTTTCGGATTTTGCTCGGATTTAGCCGCTCACAGCGGCCGAATGTAGGCTGCAGAAAAACTCAGAGCCGCTGTCAGCGGCCGAATGGATGGAATCAGTTAAAGAATAGCAGCACTGGTTAACCTGCCATTATTATGACTTTGAATAGACGGTGGCTGGTATGCCTAATAAAATGTGTTTTGAATTAAAACCGATATACCCTGTCCCCAGTACCATTTAGGTTCTCAGTGATCTGCTGCAGTTTGTGCATTTCTGGGGGCCAAATGTAGAATTATCTGAAGAAGGAGTTTTGAATTTAAAGGCAGATTCGCATACAGATCTAATGCTATTCTTTAATTGTTAATTTATGTCTCTACCCTATTCTCGTGTAAATTCAGTTTGATTTTAAAGTCTAAGTGTAGATGTAGATATCCAGATCTCTAGTCTAATCCTCTTAGAGTCAGTTCCTGTATTAGAGATTAAAATTTTGTACTCATAAAGGAGTTGGGAATATGCCACTCCCTTTCATTTCCTACCGCCACTTCCAAATGATCTCATGGGATAAACCTGGGGCCTGGGGTATTATTGTTGGCAGCGACTATTTGCACTTGAGTCTGAATAACCTCCCTTGGCTATTCGGATTCAAGAACTCCAATGCGTGTATTGGATGGGGGCGGACAGGCAATTCGCCTTGGCCTTCCTCGGTTTCTACTAACTTGCCAAAATTTTCTACACAAATTAAGAAAAGTTAAATAACTGGTGTCAAAAGTGGACAGTTGCAAAACCTGAAACACTACACAACAAAGGCAAACAGGGAAACAGCAATCTGTACTCAAAGCAGTGAAAAAAAATTGAAAATCAAAGTTTCAGAACAACAAAGGATTATGACTTTCAATGTAGTCTATACCCGCTTTATTTGACGAGAAAAACAAAATCATTGATCAGTTGGAAGTTCTGATAGAAATTAAGCAGAAAAAAAGTTTAAACCCCTCCCTCCAAAGGAACAAATGTCAGTCATTCAAAGTCGCGCTTTGTAGTTTGAGTCCAAATAGCCACGGGAGGCTATTCTGACTCGAGTCTCAATAGAATAGCTACTTCAATTATTTTATGTATGGACCTGCTATAATATGTCTTTTTAAAAATAGATTCAAAGAATTAAGTTGTCTTTTGTTTTTTAAACAAACTGGGGGGGGGGGGAGGGGTGGTTCTGGGCGGCATATATATATATATATATATAGGGGGGGGGGGGGGGGGCCATGGGGATGCACTGCTTACGGTGGATAAGGGGGGGGGGGGGCGAGGTTAGGGGGCATGCCCCTTGTAAATTCACCATAATTTGATGTTTTGCAAGTGGCCAGGTGCATGTGTTCTGTAGTGAAAAATATGTCAGTTTATCCACCGAAAGCAGTGCATCTGCATGGGGGTGCGAAAGTAAAATTTTACCGAACTTTACTGAGGGCTGCACAGTGGATGCATGTTCATAAAGTGTAATATGATGGTGTTGTGCAAGTTGAATAACTCCACACAAAAATGTATTGCTAATGCAGGCTGTAAAGTTTGGTGTGTCAAAGACCAGATCCTTTTCTTTTTTGTTATGGTTCAAGTATTTTGTTATTATATTTCATAATACAGATTTGCACATTACCTTTTAAGTTGATTTTGACCTGGGTAGTCTTTACAATACTCTAAGGTATCGAATAAGCCATCCCCCCCCCCCCCCCCATGCTTATTTATTTTCTTTTTTTTTTGCGCACCCCTGCTCCTTATTCCATACCCCCCGTTTATTATTTTCAAACTTGCCATGACTGACGATCATGTGAAACATGTATTTAGAATAATGAAACTTAATTACCCTCAGTATTAGTACCGCTACCGCGTTGGCTACCTCAATTTTCTGTGTTTTTTCTAAACTTTTGCACACATTTTGGTTTATTTTAAAAAAATGAAACTGGTTTATTCCTAAATGGGAAAAGTTGTCACAGTAACTTACAAAAATCATAAAAAATTCATGATCACTTGTTCTTTTGTTCACTGAAGGAGAAACCAAACTGATTTGTTCTAGTACTGGGATATGAGGTTGAATGTGCCACCCCCGTCCACCTTTTTTAAAATTCTACCCCATTTGTTAATTTTGGACCACTTGTCCACCTCCCCCCCCCCCCCCCCCCCCGCGCCCTTTATCGATACCTCAGAGAAATCCTGATTTATTTGAGCTCCCTTTTGTTTCCAGTTTTGATGCAACTAGGGAGTTAAGAGTATCGACCTTGATTCAGGATTCATCTGGATCTGGAGTCATAGATTGAAAACGACAAAGTTCGAAAAGTGCTGATGATGAAAGATCTACCAGTAGTTTGCAGTGCAGAGACAGAGGAAATTAGATAAACAGTCAAACCTGTTCAAAATGAAATTGTAAAGGAGCCTGAAAGAAATTGCTATAGTCGTTTTTCGTCTTGGATGGGGGAAATTTGACGAGGTAGGAGGTACTGATGGTTAGCGAGCCAGCCAGGCCAAGAGTCGCATGTCCAATCAGAAAGCAGAGGTCAAAACTTTACATCTCTCAGGTCGTTTTTTAAAATCATTTTTACTGTACTAATCCATTGCTACCCAGTGCTTGTATCTCATTGGGACCACTGTCTGACCAATTAAAAACAGAAACAATTGAGCGCCTCTTTGTTTCCACCCATAACCCCTCCCATCGATGTATTGTAAGCATAATCAACCGATACCACCCTTCTCCTGTTTAATGTTATAATGATAATTATATATATTATATATTATATGATTTTGGGAACTTTTTTCTCAGCTGGATTTAGCCTGTGATCAGGTCAGGGCGGGAAGCAGTGGTCAAATTTCATACTTCTGGCTATTCAAAGTTTCTGTACCAGTTCGCCGCTTGAGCACTGTGAAGATAGTTGAGGTCAGATTTCCCACTCACATTGGTTGGACAGTCCTCACAGCAGATTTATCATATCAACCTCTGGTGGTATTGAAACCAAAGAGCACTGCGATCAGATTTTCATAAAAATCTGATTTTTAACAATTTAATTTTATTTCTATCAGTCGTAGAAAACTTGTTGTAAAATAATGTGCAATTAAACATTTTTTTATTTTTAGTTTATTTGCAATATTTGCACAACTCATCACAAATGACTTGAAAATAACCTGTTTTGTGTGCTTTTATGAGTAATTCACATTAATTTGCCATGATTGGTTCGTTACATAATCTAACTCTACTGGGGTTCTGGAGACTTCAGGGAGTTTTTTTCCGCCTCGACTCCGATTTTTAGGGGGAGGATTCTGAGGAAAACCCCTATTTTTGGTTATAGAGGGGTTTGTAGGCCAAAAGAGTTAAATTTTCATTGCCTTTCTCACTCTGGATCAAGATATAGGCCATGAACCGACACTTTTCACCTTTCCCTATCCTAGGCTAGTCACTTGATGTCACTCCATGTCTTCCCACTTCGCACTTTTCTGTGCATCTATTTCTGTGATTCTTCTCCAGGTTCCACATGGTCTTTCCTTGATCTTTTGCCCTTTAGGTTCCAATTTAACACTTTCCTTGTTTTGCAGCTGCTTGACTTCCTGAAAGTGTCCAATCCATGGCCAACGCCTTTTTCCCACTTCATCTCTGACTGGGATCTGTCTCGTTCTTCTTAATACTTCCTTGTTGGTGATACTGTCTGTCCATCTGATCCTCAGTAACTTCCTTAGACACTTGTTCAAGAAAACCTGGATCCTCTTTATGCAAGTCTGAGATGCGTTCCATGTCTCACATCTAAAAAACAAGACTGACTTCACATTTGAGTTGAAAATCCTCCGCTCTTTTCATAGTGAGATATCCCCGGTCTTCCAAACCCTATTCCAAGAAATAAATGTGGCCAGTGCCTTTCCAATGAGGGACTGTATTTCAGCGTCTGTTCCTCCCTCTCTGTCTATTATACTCCCAAGATAGCAGAAGGATTCAACATCTTCTAGTGCATTTTCCTCTGTTTTGACCTGCTCCTTTTGTAGTGCATCTATCCGTTGGACTTTTGACTCTCCGGGGTAGATCCTCAATCCAGCAGACTCGGATAGGCTGTTTAAAATTTTGGTCTTTGCTTGCATTTATTCCTGGGTGTGAGACAAAAGCGCCAAGTCATCTGCACTGTCCAGATTGTCCAACTGCGTCCATGGAGTCCAGTGTATGCCGTTTCTGTGTCCTCTGATGGTTTCCTTCATCACCCAGTCGATTGCCAAGATAAAGAGGAAATGTGATAGTAAACATCCATGTTGGAAGTAAAGACTTCTTTGACCATTGTCCAGTGCATTTCCACCTCTATGTCCTCCTCACCAAGATCAGCCAAGGGTTGAAACCCCTCTTTCTTGTGTCCATCTAGGAGAGTTACTTGAAACTTCGTTATTCTGGTTCCGTGCTTTTTGAGACGAAGCTTGAGTTTTACTATCAGAAGATGATGATCCGATCCAACGTCTGCCCCTCTCTGTATTACTGTAGAAGAATTATAACCTTGTTAAAAACTCAAAGCCTGCTATTGAATAATAATCTTTATCGGTGGAAACTAATAAATTCACCTAGGCCTACATGTTTAGATGCAACTTGTGAAATTGAAGATGAATTTCGCTTCATCCTTTATTGTTCAGTTTTGCCTATCAAAGAAAATTGTTCATTTCTCCCCCTTCTTAGCTCAACCCCAGTGATAAAAATATACGGAATGTTTTCACCCTTGACAAAAGATTTACACATATGTACAACGTATACTATTATATTATGGAAACTTTGTTCAACAGCAAGCTGGTAGGGCACAGCTTTTGTAATTTTTGTCCCGTTTCGTTTCTGCCCTGTTTTGTTTACACTTTCTTTTATTTTTAGATAATCGTCTGGATAGACAACAACAACACTGGATCGATTTAGATAATCATTCAGTGGTGCTCGTGCTGTATGGAAATGTTCCAAGTAATTTATTTTTGTACACCATATGCTTCTCTTTTTCTATAACTGTACGAATCTGTTGTCCCCAGGAGGTGAGGTGTGACCACAGCTGTCCAGTGTCTGTGGTGTCCGCCCTGACACACCCACCCACCCACACACACGCACACGCACACGCACACATATTCTGCCCTTGGCAGTTTTTGTGACCCCAGTGGAGGTCACGACCCTTGCCAGTGGAGCAAAATAGATTATAGAAAGGTGAGTGTGTATGTCCTTCCTGGTGTTGTGTCTCAGAGACGAAAGTGTTTGTTCTCTTAAATTATCTTGAATTCAAGACGTTTTCAATCTTCTAGCAGTGGGTGGTTGGTGGGTACTCTGGTGTGGTTTGCTCCTTCTTTCCTATCAAACTTCTATCATCCTGTCTCTTTTTTTTGTGTGCTACTCTCTTGTAACACCTCTAATCCTCTGTGCTTATAATATGACCTAATTGTGTTGCAAGTGCAGTAAAACTCTTACTAAAACAATCATGTAGCAGCACACTCACACCATGATTTTGTTTCCATGGTTCATACTGGTTATTTTGTCCAGTGCATGATGTTCCTTGTCCACCTGACATGAAAGTCAAGGGAGTATTATCGTTAATGCAAGATGTCTTCATTGCTGACTTGCGTGCTATTTTGCTTTGAAGTTATACTTTGTTTGTGAAGTTGGACTTTTCTTCAAATTCAAATACTTGTTTTCCAAACTTAAATTTTCAGTTATGTACAACTCCCTCTGATCATAGTTGCTGTGACCATAAAAATTACCAAATGTTGTTTTTTTTTTCTTCTCGCCTGGTAAAGGTGGGTTGAACAAATTTTTTTTTCTGATCTAAATAACATGAGTTTTGGCCGTGTTTCGTCTGGAACGAATTAGAATTACTTTTGTAGAAGACTATTCCATTGAATAGTAGTGCGCCCTGTGCAAGAAAAATAATTAACTGAATGGTGTGAATAACATTCTATAGGCTTGTCTTTCTCCTCCTCCCCTGTTTTTTCTGTTTGTCTCTTTTTCTTTTCACATCTCCGTCTTTCTCTCTCTCCCGTCTTCTCCTCTTAAAAAAAAAAGATTATCCTTTGTCTCCACACTCATGTACAAAAACATTGACAGTCTTCAAAACAAAAATGTATAAGAGTATACCCTTTTGTTTTAAGACAAAACACTGAAAGATACGTTCAACTATCTGACTTACATGGTGGAGCTTAATTTGTACTTCTGCCTATTTTTACTGTTTTAGAAATTATTCGTCTGTTTGTTTGAAATCATTCATATCTCAGGAGTTTATAGTTAATTGTTATGTTTGCGGTTTTGATTTTAAACAAGAAACAAGATTTAAACTTTTATTTTCCTGTCTTAGGTGGGTTTTTTTTACTTCTAACATTATTGTCTCTTGCTGGCGCTTCCCTTTCCTTTGTCTGACGAAATGCCCCTTGGAGACAGGCATGGAACAAATCGCAAGCATGTATTGTAAATTTTCATTATAATAGTAATAAATATTTGAAAATGTTATTCTTCGTTGGTTTGTTTGTTGTCCTAAAGTTGGTGGTTGGAGTTGGAGGACACTTATAGTGGGTCCCTTTTCTTTCCTTTCTGTCTCAGTTGTTTCTGTTTGTCTGTCTTTCTAAATATTTTAACAGTTATTGTGACTATATGCCCTTCTCTTTCACCTAACTCAAACTGTTCTGAACTATTCATCCTGGCCACGAGAGTAGCATAACTCTAGAAATGTGAGAAAAGTGTATAATATATATTATTGTCTGTAAGAAGAGCTGGTAGAGAGAGGAGAGAAAAGGGAAAGGAACCTACTGCTTGGTGGGACTCTTCAAAGACTTGTAGGGAAGTCTTTATAATAACTTTTTGAGACATGCAGGAACTGTCACCGTGACATGGGAGCTGACAGTTGCTACCTCAGAATTACAAAGTTCTGTCTGTCACTTTTGGCTGTTTTGAGTTACTGACACCACGAGTTCAGGAACCAAATGCTCTATAAAAATGGTAAGGGGTGGGTCACCATCAGGCAAGTTGGAACTGGTTTGATTATCGAATGAGGATCAGGAAGGTGAGAGTACCGAGAGGAGCCTTTGTTTTGATGCGAAATGTTTTTGAAGTTCGAAAAATTGAGAAAGTGCACTAAGCTGAAGCTTTCTTCTGTATATAATGCAGTGTGCTGTATAGACGGAAAGGGTCATGTAATGACGCGGCTAAGATGAGTTCCACCTCTATGTCAGTTTAACATAAGATTTATTTTAAAGATGGTTAGACTTATCACCATAGAGAAATTGTTGCAGTTAGGGAAAAACGAAAGAAATATGATGAAGGAAATAACACCGAGAATCTGACAATGTGTTGGACGAACGTTTAAGAAAATCGATGTCAAGTATAACCAGGAAAGTACGGAAAAGGGAAAGGGGTTTTTTTTTTTTGGGGGGGGGGGGGGCGAGACCTGTGAGCTAACATTGGATATAGGTACGTGTAGAGGTATAGAGAGAGACCAAGATTCTGGACTAAACTATTAAAATATTATTAGGGAGGAATTGTTTACTGTGCGTGCCTTTTTTAGACGAGAGCGAGAGAGAGAGAGAAAGAGAGGGAGAGAGAGAGAGAGAGAGAGAGAGAGAGAGAGAGAGAGAGAGAGAGAGAGAGAGAGAGAGAGAGAGAGAGAGAGAGGGGGGCCTTGCGCGCCGTCACCGTTGACGCCGAGCCCGCTTCTGTGACGTAGCCTGTTGTGTCCCGGTCGTGACGTCAGCCCGCCGTGACGTGGCGGCGAACGGGGACGGCTTGACGCACTACTTGACGTGTCTGTGCGCGCCCTCGTTTTATCTGATTTCGCAGCACAGTCACGTGTTGTGAATTTGCAACTACAGCGTCGTTTGTTGGGTGAGGTGGATAAGACGTGTTAACACACCTTTCATTAGTCGGCGCTTGCTGATAGTCACTGCTCGGGCCCGCGGGTGGGGGGTGAGGGGGGGGGGGGGGCAATATGTCACAGAGGTGGACGGTAAATTTAGACACGTAACTCATGGTTCAAGTTCAAAGAAACAATGTGTCTTTAGCCCAATTAATTAATCGAGCACCACTTCACACGTTCCTTAATTTGTCGCGGGCTTTGGACCTTGACTTAAGTTCTCAGTGTGGCTGCCTTAAAAATTGTTTGGCGGGCATTCATGCCTTTAAAATGCAGATATTTTATTTTTAAACCTTGAGCTAAAAAAAAAAGAAGAAATTTGCTGTGAAGTTGACACGTACATTGAGGATCAGAATTTGATGTATAAAAAATGGTCCTTGATGATTGTCCTCTTAACTTGTAACATACCCTCTCCCTTTCGTGGGTGGTTGGCGGGTGCTCTGGTGTGGTTGGCTCCTTCTTTCCTATCAGAGATCTATCGTCCTTATCTCCCCTTCTTTTTTATGTTTGTTACTCTCTTGCAACACCTCTAATCTTCTGGCGCTCATATGACCTTATGCAGTTGCGAGTGCCGTAAAACCTCTACTAAAACTAAAACTCTCCCTTTCACCATCTCTTCACCGGGGCTTGGTGTGGGGCTGTCCTGTTTTTTTTGTTGGTTATGTTACGTTAAGCTCTTGGGCCGAAATATGCCCCAAAGCTGAGTAATTTTTTTTTGTTATCTGTTTGCCGTTCGTGTTTCTCGAGATATCCATAAGCCCAAAAGTAAGTTAGATCGAGCGCAGAGTAGGTCGGGAACGTTTTCTAGGGCGCGAATTCACTTGACTCGTGACGTAATCGGATTAAAGTGGCTCAGTTTACTTCCCCTGGCCACATTGGTGTGTCAGTGTGTGTGTGTTTGTGCACGTGGGCGTTTGTCTGGGTGTTTATATTGGTCTTTTAGTGTTTATTATATTACTAGCGAGGGTGTGTGGGTTTTTTTCGCCTGGTCGCGAACATGTGTGCGTTGGTTTGTATGGTTGTGCGTTTGTATATTCGCTCTGGTCATTGTGCGTCAAATTGTTTTTGTGGGTGGTTGGCAGGTGCTCTGATGTGCTTTGCTCCTTCTTTCCTGTCAAACATCTTTATCGTCTCCTCCTTTTTTGTGTTTGTTACTCTCTTGTAAAACCTCTAATCTTCGGCACTTATTGACCTTATCGTGTTGCGAGTGCCCTCAAACGCTTACTAAACCTAAAACAAATTGTCTGGATGTAATCTAAATCTCTTTTCTTTGATCGGGTCGGGTCGTAGTTGAATGAGAGAGAGAAAAACACACATACAGAGAGAGAGAGAGAGAGAGAGAGAGAGAGAGAGAGAGGGGGGCCTTGCGCGCCGTCACCGTTGACGCCGAGCCCGCTTCTGTGACGTAGCCTGTTGTGTCCCGGTCGTGACGTCAGCCCGCCGTGACGTGGCGGCGAACGGGGACGGCTTGACGCACTACTTGACGTGTCTGTGCGCGCCCTCGTTTTATCTGATTTCGCAGCACAGTCACGTGTTGTGAATTTGCAACTACAGCGTCGTTTGTTGGGTGAGGTGGATAAGACGTGTTAACACACCTTTCATTAGTCGGCGCTTGCTGATAGTCACTGCTCGGGCCCGCGGGTGGGGGGTGAGGGGGGGGGGGGGGCAATATGTCACAGAGGTGGACGGTAAATTTAGACACGTAACTCATGGTTCAAGTTCAAAGAAACAATGTGTCTTTAGCCCAATTAATTAATCGAGCACCACTTCACACGTTCCTTAATTTGTCGCGGGCTTTGGACCTTGACTTAAGTTCTCAGTGTGGCTGCCTTAAAAATTGTTTGGCGGGCATTCATGCCTTTAAAATGCAGATATTTTATTTTTAAACCTTGAGCTAAAAAAAAAAGAAGAAATTTGCTGTGAAGTTGACACGTACATTGAGGATCAGAATTTGATGTATAAAAAATGGTCCTTGATGATTGTCCTCTTAACTTGTAACATACCCTCTCCCTTTCGTGGGTGGTTGGCGGGTGCTCTGGTGTGGTTGGCTCCTTCTTTCCTATCAGAGATCTATCGTCCTTATCTCCCCTTCTTTTTTATGTTTGTTACTCTCTTGCAACACCTCTAATCTTCTGGCGCTCATATGACCTTATGCAGTTGCGAGTGCCGTAAAACCTCTACTAAAACTAAAACTCTCCCTTTCACCATCTCTTCACCGGGGCTTGGTGTGGGGCTGTCCTGTTTTTTTTGTTGGTTATGTTACGTTAAGCTCTTGGGCCGAAATATGCCCCAAAGCTGAGTAATTTTTTTTTGTTATCTGTTTGCCGTTCGTGTTTCTCGAGATATCCATAAGCCCAAAAGTAAGTTAGATCGAGCGCAGAGTAGGTCGGGAACGTTTTCTAGGGCGCGAATTCACTTGACTCGTGACGTAATCGGATTAAAGTGGCTCAGTTTACTTCCCCTGGCCACATTGGTGTGTCAGTGTGTGTGTGTTTGTGCACGTGGGCGTTTGTCTGGGTGTTTATATTGGTCTTTTAGTGTTTATTATATTACTAGCGAGGGTGTGTGGGTTTTTTTCGCCTGGTCGCGAACATGTGTGCGTTTGTGTGTATGGTTATTTTGTATATTCGCTCTGGTCATTGTGCGTCAAATTGTTTTTGTGGGTGGTTGGCAGGTGCTCTGATGTGCTTTGCTCCTTCTTTCCTGTCAAACATCTTTATCGTCTCCTCCTTTTTTGTGTTTGTTACTCTCTTGTAAAACCTCTAATCTTTGGCACCTATTGACCTTATCGTGTTGCGAGTGCCCTCAAACGCTTACTAAACCTAAAACAAATTGTCTGGATGTAATCTAAATCTCTTTTCTTTGATCGGGTCGGGTCGTAGTTGAATGAGAGAGAGAACAACACCCCTCCAGAGAGAGAGAGAGAGAGAGAGAGAGAGAGGCTGCGGGGGAGAGGGAGAGAGAGAGGGAAAAAGAGAGAGAGAGAGAGAGAGAGAGATTGGGGGGGGGGGGGGGCGACACATTATAATTGCGAGTTTGCCTAGTACCCGCCTTGGGAGTTGTGATTGTTTATGACACAGTGGACTAGCCAGTCGTTTTTTTTTTCTTCCTATAATTATAATAGATTTCCTTGTTACAGTTACAGGTAATTGCAGCTGGTTTCTACTTTGGACTATTGATATTATTTTTTAGGGAAGTATTGAACTTTGGTCTTACACTTCGAGAACTTCGTAACATTATCGTTAGCCGCTTAGCGTGTGAAAGAAAGTTCGTCTTGATGTGAAATATTTCCCTTGTTTTGCTGTTGTCAGCGAAGGATGTGTCGAAACAAGGGTCAGGTTGAAATTTAAAAAAATGTTTCATGAACTCGACTTCTCACAGCGGTTGAGACCTTTATATTCTTGATATACAGTGAAAAGCCTGTCAATAGCAATGAGCAACGACCCATTGGTGACGTTTTTAAATCACCGTGGTGGTTGTGAATTACTGTTTCGACCGTCAGGAGCCACGAAGAAACGCAGAGATGGGAAATAGTATAGGAAGAGTTGGATACGCATTACTGTAAAAAGAAAGAAATAATTAGGCCTCAACCGAGGAGCTGCTGGCTGTTCCAAATGTTAGACTAGCCTTTGTTCGATGAACAATCGAGCTGTAATCGCTCGCTGCTTGCTTTTCACATGTCCTCCGGGGTGAGGAGGGACTGCGGTGGCGGGGTTTTAGGGCAGGCGGCCGACGTACAATGCGTCCAGCATAATGTCTGCACAATAGTATTTAATTAGTACACCTGTGTGGACACAAGCATCTCCCCCTGGGGTGGGGGGTGGGGAGTTGGAAGCTGGACTACGAGAAAACTAGTTCAGTAATGCTATTATGGGAAATGGAGGGCTCGAGTCTTCACGTGACGTTGTGTTTGTTTGGTCAGGTCCCCTCTTATATATTCCCTCTTATTATCGCAGGCCGTGTGTGTGGACTTTAAACGGAAAGCTCCATTGTAGGTTTTGGGGAAAGAGTTGGGTGGTG